CAAGTGCTTTAAATATAAAGAAGTTTTCATCGGTGTATGTCTTTTGCACTTCCCTTCCTTTTGCTTTGCATAACTTTGGCGTGAAATTTTGGATTCCCATATGGTCAATTCCTGATTTTCAGGGAATTTAATCTCAGCCGGACTGAGTAAGACTTCATCGTGTGAGTCCGAATGGAGTCATTGATCTGCCTGCTTGGGCGAAGTCGACATGTGATTTATTACTTTGAGCAGATTTGCTCTTGATTTAAAACGAGGTTATATAATGTATTCATTATTTTGGACGAAGTCGGTCATGGCTTGGGTCTTCCAGACGGGGCCAAACTACCGTTGGTTTGGGCAAAGTTATTTTTCTTTCAGAAATGGCCATTGGCTTTAAGGGCGTTATTTCAAACTTTTACCAAAATGTTAACCCGTCATTGTTCAATCGAGGTCGAATGCTTTTCTTTGGCAATGGCCCTTGAACTTTTTGTCGAAATGTTAGCCCGTCGTTGTTTGATCAAGGTCGAACTCTTCTTTGGCGATGGACCATGGCCTTAAGGGTGTTATTTCAAACTTTTTATCAAAATATTAAATCGTCGTTGTTTGATCGAGGTCGAACTCTTCTCTTTGGCGATGGCCCTTGGCCTTAAGGGTGTCATTACAAACTTTTTGTCGAAATGTTAGCCTGTCATTATTCGATCGAGGTAGAACTCTTTTCTTTGGCGATGTCCCTTGGCCTTAAGGGTGTCACTTCGAACTTTTTGTCGAAATGTTAACCCGTTATTGTTCGATCGAGGTCGAACTCTTATCTTTGACGATAGCCCATGGCCTTAAGGGTGTCATTTCAAACTTTTTGTCGAAATGTTAACCCGTCGTTGTTCAATCGTGGTCAAACTCTTCGCTTAGGCGATGGCCCTTGGCCTTAAGGGTGTCATTTTGAAATTTTTATTGGAATGTTAGTCCTTCGTTGTTCGATCGAGGTTGAACTTTTCTCTTTGACGATGGCCCTTGACCTTAAGGGTGTCATTTCGAACTTTTTGTCAAAATGTTAACCCGTCGTTGTTCGATCGAGGATGAACTATTCTCTTTGACGATGTTCCTTGGCCTTAAGGGTGTCATTTCGAACTTTTTGTCGAAATGTTAGCCCGTCGTTGTTCAATCATGGTCAAACTCTTCGCTTAGGCGTTGGCCCTTGGCCTTAAGGGTGTCATTTTGAACTTTTTATTGGAATGTTAGTCCTTCGTTGTTCGATCGAGGTCGAACTTTTCTCTTTGACGATGGCCCTTGGCCTTAAGGGTTTCATTTCGAACTTTTTGTCAAAATGTTAACCCGTCGTTGTTCGATCGAGGTTGAACTATTCTCTTTGACGATGTCCCTTGGCCTTAAGGGTGTCATTTCGAACTTTTTGTCGAAATGTTAGCCCGTCGTTGTTCAATCGTGGTCAAACTCTTCGCTTAGGCGTTGGCCCTTGGCCTTAAGGGTGTCATTTTGAACTTTTTATTGGAATGTTAGTCCTTCGTTGTTCGATCGAGGTCGAACTTTTCTCTTTGACGATGGCCCTTGGCCTTAAGGGTGTCATTTCAAACTTTTTGTCCAAATGTTAACCCGTCATTGTTCGATCGAGGTTGAACTCTTCTCTTTGACGATGACCCTTGGCCTTAAGGGTGTCATTTCGAACTTTTTGTCGAAATGTTAGCCCGTCGTTGTTCAATCGTGGTCAAACTCTTCTCTTATGCGATGGCCCTTGGCCTTAAGGGTGTGATTTTGAACTTTTTATTGGAATATTAGTCCTTCGTTGTTCGATCGAGGTCAAACTTTTCTCTTTGACGATGGCCCTTGGCCTTAAGGGTGTTATTTCGAACTTTTTGTCAAAATATTATCCCGTCGTTGTTCGATCGAGGTCGAACTCTTCTCTTTGACGATGGCCCTTGGCGTTAAGGGTGTCATTTCGAACTTTTTGTCGAAATGTTAACCCGTCATTGTTCGATCGAGGTCAAACTCTTCTCTTAGGCGATGGCCCTTGGCCTTAAAGGTGTCATTTCAAACTTTTTGTTGGAATGTTAGCCCGTCGTTGTTCTATCGAAGTCGAACTTTTCTCTTTGGCGATGACTCTTGGCCTTAAGGGTGTTATTTCAAACGTTTTGTCGAAATGTTAGCTCGTCGTTGTTCAATCGAGGTCGAACTCTTCTTTTTGGCGATGGCCCTTGGCCTTAATGGTGTCATTATGAACTTTTTGTGAGAATGTTAGCCCGTCGTTGTTCGATCGAGGTCAAACTCTTCTCTTTGGTGATGACCCTTTGCCTTAAAGGTGTCATTTCAAACTTTTTGTCGAAATGTTAAACCGACGTTGTTCGATCGAGGTTGAACTCTTCTCTTTGGCAATGGCCCTTGGACTTAAGGGTGTCATTTCAAACTTTTTGTCAAAATGTTAAACTATCGTTGTTCAATCGAGGTTGAACTCTTCTCTTTGGCGATGGCCCTTGGCCTTAAGGGTGTCATTTCGAACTTTTTGTCAAAATGTTAACCCGTCGTTGTTCGATCGAGGTCGAACTCTTCTCTTTAGCGATGGCCCTTGGCCTTATGGGTGTCATTTTGAACTTTCGTCGAATTGTTAACCCGTCGTTGTTTGATCGAGGTCGAACTCTTCTCTTTAGCGATGGCCCTTGGCCTTATGGGTGTCATTTTGAACTTTCGTCGAATTGTTAACCCGTCGTTGTTTGATCGAGGTCGAACTCTTCTCTTTGACGATGGCCCTTGGCCTTAAGGGTGTCATTTCGAACTTTTTGTCGAAATGTTAACCCGTCATTGTTCAATCGAGGTCGAACTCTTCTCTTTGGCGATGGCCCTTGTCCTTAAGGGTGTCATTTCGAACTTTTTGTCGAAATGTTAACCCGTCATTGTTCAATCGAGGTCGAACTCTTCTCTTTGGCGATGGCCCTTGTCCTTAAGGGTGTCATTTCGAACTTTTTGTTTAAATGTTAGCCCGTCTTTGTTCAATCGAGGTCGAACTCTTCCCTTTGGTGATGGCTCTTGGCCTTAAGGGTGTTATTTCAAACTTTTTGTCGAAATGTTAGCCCGTCGTTGTTCGATCGAGGTCAAACTCTTCTCTTTGGCATGGATCTTGGCCTTAAGGGTATTATTTCAAACTTTTTTCAAAATGCCCGTCGTTGTTCGATCGAGGTCGTACTCTTCTTTTTGGCGATGGCCCTTGGCCTTAAGGGCGTCATTTCAAACTTTTTGTCGAAATGTTAGCCCGTCGTTAGTCCCATTTTTTTGGAGTGTCGGGTATCCTCTAGGTAGTCCCAGTTTTGCTCAACCTCTGCGCTTCCTGGGTGAGTCCTGGTTCGCTTGGTTTTATTTACATCGGAGAGTGTAATATTGGAGGGTATAAGACGTTGTTGTTTTGTTCGCGTTTGTTTTGCGCATATATTGGAGTTTCCTTGTCTAGTCCTTTCGTTTTCCAGTTTGGAGATGTTATTGGCAGGTAGGACGATGAATTATATTTTGAACTTGGGGACATCCCCCTTATTGACTCAGTACTTAGCTCCTCGGGAGAACCCTATTGGGACAACTCCTAGGTGAGGGAGAGAGAGTACGGCTTAAGGGGCGTCATTTTCTAGAAGTTGGAGTGTCGGGTAGACGATATTTCGATTATTTTGTAGTAGTTTCCCATTCTCCAGTTGAGATGTTCATTTGCTCGCTCGCCCGCGCGACGCTTGTGTTCCTGTTTGAGCAAACAACAGAAGGTGAGCCAAAAAATGATATTCTTCTTACCCCGATCTGATGAGTCGGTGAATGAGGGTGGATCTATAGCGTTGCTCGCTTTGCCTGGCGTTTAAATGGTTGATGGGGTGGTGATTTCTAAATCTGATGGCCGTATTCAACTCTCTCTCCCCTTCTTTTTTGTGCTCTAGCTCCGCGTTGGTTGGGCTTGCCTTAGCTTGTTCATGGACTGCCCGGAGTGTGGGGGAGGATGTTAGTTGTAACTTCTGCTCGCATGCAGCATCATGATCTAGATTAGCACGTGCGGTTTACTTACTGCTCTTTTATGTGGGTGATTATGTTTCCGATTTTTGATCCGGAAGAGACTAGGAAATTTGACTAAGAAATCTCCACAGACGGCGCCAAATTGTTTGACCAAAAGATGTCAAAACCTTTTTGATTAAAATAACTAATGATAATAATGAGGTCAATCTTAGTCAAGCATAAAAAACCTCAGATCTGAAAAATGAATCGGAACATAATCAGTAAAAGGAAATAAGAGCGGTCAATCTTTATTGCTATTTGTCATTTCTTCTTTTATGAAATAGAGAGGATGATCAATTTTGCATCCTTTTTGGAAAGAAATTGAAGGAGAAAGCAAAAGGAGAAAAAAACCCTCCTTTCTTTGAGAATTCCTCCCCTATATATAGTTTTGGGACCCTTGCTATCTTCTCTGGCCGACGCGCCTTCACGCAGTGACCTTTTTTGTCGTTACTTGAGTATTGTTTTTATTTTTATGTACACTGTAGGTGCTTAAACCGAAGTAGGTTGTGACGTCCCTCGCTATCCCGCCTACTGGGTCGGCTTCAGATTTTGACATATACAATAATAAATTCACCAAAGACAAAGAACAAATGAAACTCCACTGATAGATCCACAAACAAGGCACTTATTCTATCAGTGAATCTGTCTCATGAGGTATCGGGATATCATGATACGTCTGACAATGCTTTTAGCAGTAAAATGATCAATGAGAAATTCATTAATACATGATAACCTTGTTTGGTTAACATTTTTATTTTATTTTATATTTGGTTCAACAAATGGTCGGATTCAAGTTAAACTGCAACTACAACAAATGCTTTCTGATCTTATATAGCACGTTCGAACAACCTGTTATATAACAGCAACTCATTTCAGGCCACAAGACAGCAAAATTTCAGGCCACGGAACAGACAACTCCTTCCACTCAGCCGACTCCTTCGTTTCAGGCGACGTCACAACCAATTCCTTCATTTCAACCTCCTGTTAATCCCACACCACCACAAGCAACATGCAATAAGCGTGCTAAACGTGAGTCTTCACATCATTGGACTGTCGATGGAATAGGTAATCATTATCCTTTCGTTACAATTGCTGTCGTTGTTGATGTATAGGACATTAAAGTATAACCGAAATGTATTACTCTGTAGTCTTCAATTAGCAGTTAGGAGCAAACTGTGAGGCGGGCTAAAGTTGTTACTCTTTGTTTTCCCTCTCATCTCCTCTTCTTTCTTCCTCTTTTCTACTCATCCCTCTCATACCTGTGTGTGAATCAGATCGTTACACTGGTGCTTTTACTAAGAGTCGAACTGGCTCGAAACCAGCTCATTGTTTTATCTATTTTATGAAGTTCTGCAATATTTGTGAGTGCATTCTTTTGGTGTTTTTGAAGGCATTTATTTTTGTTCGTCACATTTACAATGTTTTCATTCCTTCTGTTTTACAGTGGCTTAAAAGGCGAACACTGTCACATGAAATGTACAGCTTTTAAACTTGAAAACACATGTTTTAAGTTTTAAGAAAATCATTTCTGAGGCTATATCTAGTAGTTAGGCTTGTTATTTCTAAAATTAGATGCTAGCTTCTTTTTGTGTATGCATATTGACGTTTCTGCCCATAACATGAGCCACTTTCTTCTCATAGTCAGATGAATTCCTATTGTGATAGAAGTTTTTGAGTGTGAGATGGCTACAAGGTGTTTGTATTATTTTAGTTGATTCAACTACGACTAAACTGCCTGTTGATAATGGATGTAGTTTGTTGGGGTTTACTTGAAATGTATCTTTCATGCCAATAACTTGTTTCTGATAAAAGCTTTTTTTTGTTGGTTTGTTTCCTGATACTCCTAATAGTTGTATTTTTTTTTTTACTTTTTGTTGCAGCCAAGTGATGCAGCTAGTGGACCCGTTTCACCCAATGATGCAAGAAGATCTTCCGGCGCTAGTAATCCCAACGATAACTATTGAAATTCATTTTAATTGAAGTGGATGTATTAGGACAATGTGATTAGCTGACTAACATGAATGAGTAATTGTGTTCTAATTTAGCTTGATGCCATATGATACTATGCTTGGTTAATGGAATGTTGATGCTTAATTTTAATGTTTTGATTTAAGCATTAATATTTCAATTTATATTAGAGAAAAAGTACTGCGTATTGACGATAAAATATCATTTAAAATATATTTAAAAATAGATGGGGTTAAAACCCAAAAATAAAAGAAATAAAAACAAATTTTGATAGCATACACATAAGAAATTGTGGGGGTTTACAACCCCTACACCGAAAAGAAAAATTAAATTTAAGAAATCAAAATCTAATTTCTGCATGAGATTGCGGGAGTTAAAATTGCAATTTGCGGAGGTTAGAAACCTCCGCTATTTGCTGTCATGGCGATTTGGGAACCCGCATTTATCTGCCGCAAATAATAGTGGTGACGCTTACTGCGGGGGTCTGCAACCCGATGGATTATTGCAGGGTATAGAGATTTCGACTTGGAAATGGGAAGTAATTAATATGGATTTCATCATAGGCTTACCTCGTACCCAGGGTAAGTTTGATTCTATATGGGTTATTGTTGATAGACTTACAAAATCAGCCCATTTCTGCCTGTCGGGACTACGTATTCAATAGAGGATTATGCAAGGCTTTACATTAAAGAGATAATACGACTTCATGGTATCCCTATATCTATTATCTCATATAGAGATTCTCAGTTTACAACTAATTTCTTGAGGTCCTTCCAAAAAGTATTGGGGACTCAAGTAAGTCTTACTACAACATTTCATCTCCAGACAGACGACCAGACTGAGCGTACTATTCAGACATTGGAGGATATGGTACGGGCTTGTGATAGACTTCAGGGGTAGCTGGGATGATCATCTTCCACTTATTGAGTTCGCATATAATAATAGCTATCATTCCAGCATTTAGATGGATCCATATGAAGCTCTTTACCGGCGGAGGTGTAGGTCACCTATAGGATGGTACGAGGTTGGGGAAACTAAGTTAGTAGGACCAGAGTTGGTACAATAGGCAGTTGAGAAGATTAAGCTTATACGGGAAAGGCTATTAGCAGCTCAGAGTCGGCAGAAGTCTTATGCAGATAATCGACAACGAGACTTGGAGTTTCAGGTAGATGATTGGGTATTCCTAAAGGTATCACCGTGAAAGGCGTTTTGACATTAGTTAAGAAAGGAAAGCTTAGCCCTCATTACATTGGATCATATAAGATAATACACAGAGTAGGCCAGGTAGCATATGAGTTAGACTTGCCTTCCAACTTGGAGTCAGTAGATCCAGTTTTTCATGTTTCTATGCTTCGTAAGTGTATAGGAGATCCTTCTAGAGTCATTCCAATAGACGATGTTCTGATCACAGAGTAGCAATCATATGAGGAAGCTCCCATTTCTATACTAGATAGACAGGATCAGAGATTGAGAACTAAAGATGTATCTTTGATTAAAGTACTTTAGAGGAACAATAATATGGAGGAGATGACTTGGGAAGAGGAATAAGACATGAATTCTAGGTATCATCACTTGTTCCCACTTCCGGAGGAGGATCAGACTGAGATATCACAGCCTTAGGTACGTATATAGTACTTGATTCTTATGTTAGTTATTATCGTGTGAGCCCATTAGTGTTATTAATGATAATGGCCCTGTGTGGCTTTGTATTGTTAGGTTTTCTGTCTGACAAGTTGGTAGTTTACCATTAAGAGGAGACTCTGCCAAAATTTCTATAGATCTCTTGGAGTTTAACATTCGAGGATGAATGTTTCTAAGGGGAAGATTGTTACACCCTGTGCACCCCAAGGTGACATATAATAAATATGAGACTTGTTAATCATGATTTAAATGAGTTTAAAGTCATAATATAACTATATATGATATTTGGATAGAAAATATAAAGTTTAGGAGAAATCATATTTAAGTTGCGGAAAAACCGACTAAGGATTTACCTTGTAATGGACCTTTTTGATAAATGAATTTCGTGTGCTATATGAGGTCTTTTTGGGACATATTATATACTAAATTTAAGGTCTTGGAATTTGATTTCCAATGCACTTAACCATTTGTTCATATGACATCCAGATAAAAATATATAAGCGTCAGAATATGGGCCAATACGAGGGTGTCAAGCTAGCACATATTTGACTTTTCAAAAGTTTATATATAGGTCTTAGCAAATCTCTATCTTCACTTTTACATATATCCCAACCATAGAACACCATACAAACCTGCCCTTGAGCTCTCTAAAGGGTTTCAAAGAATACTAACATCCCGGGTACGAAATAGAGAAGCGATTACATCAGAACGATCCCTACGACGTAAGTATCATTATAATGCCTCTATTTTTTCTTTGTAGTTTGAGTTTTGCAAGGTATTTCATAGTTAAGAAACGTTTAATTTCTGTATTTAAGTGTTTAAATATCAAGAAAGGTTGATAAATTGGTTTTTCAATAGTTAGAAATCACAGAACGGTGATCGAAAGTCGTGAGTTCGATTTTTTTCCACTTTTAGTGGACTATTTTGTAGTCCACTCGTGTTGTCCTATTGTACTGATTAATTATGGATTTTAGAAGGATGACAGGGCATGGATAAATGCCACATGTGGTTGGGTAGTAGGTTGGTCGCTCATCGTTGCAGTTTCAAGATAATTAATAACTTGTTGATTGGGTGTGTTATGGTATATTTAGGATTTTTGTTATATTAAAGGTCCCGAATTGTAATTAGGTTGGTTTTGAATTGCTTATTTTATTGTGTTTGTATCTCGCCTGTAATAGGCTTGAGGGAGCAGTAAAATCAGGGGAAATGCTGCTCGTTTTATTTTAGAATCGAGTTATCGTTTGAGATATGTAATATACTAGTGCCATCTAAGTTGTGCATGTATTTCTTTGTTATAGGGTTGGCGCGCTAGTTATCATAAGCTTGTTGTTGAGTTGCATTGACGACTTGAGGTATGTTAAGGTTATCTCTCCTTCCATTTTGCCATGATCCATATGATACAAATGAAACGAGCAAACGCACAACTTTCACAAATGATTCTATTCTTAGAAGTACTAGGGTTGCCTATGTTCTGGATTCCCCATATGTCCTACTATCATATCGTCCGTTCATGGGTCTCATGACATTCCGAGAGATCTTATTGGCTTACTTCATTATGCATTGCATCCATTTATACATGTATATTGACCGATGACCAGATGGCATTATATACTTGTATAGTATATGTATATGGGGTATGGGGAAAGGTTATGGCGTTATATACGCACTACCACTTGATCAGCTGGTATATATTTATGATTTTGCTCACAAAGGCTGAGATGACATGATGAGATTCCCTCAAAGGCTTAATGATTTTATCTACGCATATACATATGCATGACATGATATTTATACGCATATGCATGACATTATAAATGTTTCATGATTCACAAAGCTATTCAGACTTACAGGTTGGGACTTTACTCCATGTTTTGTTCATGTCTTTTATACAGTGATTTTTATGCCTTACATACTCGGTACATTAATCGTACTGATGCCCCTATTGCTTGGGGGCCTGCATTTCATGCCCGCAGGTGCAGGTAGACAGATTGACGGTCCCCCCTTCTTAGGAACCTTGCTCAGCGAGAGTTGGTGTGCTCCATTTGATTCAGAGCTGCTATTGAGCTTTGGTACGATACTTTTGTATACATATGGGTATGATGGGGCCCAACCCCGTCCTTTATAAAGTGTACATTCTGTTAGAGGTCTATAGACAGTCATGTGTAGTTAGATAGTATGTGTCCTTGTCGGTTGCCCTACCGTATTTCGTATACATATTTATATATGTCTTTTAGGCATGTTTTTTCGCGTATGTTATTCACATGAATTAGTAGTTTATTGCCATATATTATGCATGACCTACACTTATTTCATGTTTATATCTTAGACGTATGCTTAGGGGTGTTCGATAGGTAGAACTCGGGCACTCATCACGCTCCATCAATTTAGGTCGTGACATTTAGGCTAATTATCATAATTCTGGTGAGCCCGAGAGACTGAAAGAGATTATTGACTGAGTAAGGCTGAGGGTTTATTATGAGTGGTATTTATGGGATTGGGTTGCATATCGCAGCAGATTTTATTGATTCATGTCAGGACTTGGCTTATTGTAGTGCTTGGGCTAGATCAGCCCCTCCGGAGTCTCCATAGTCACAGTGGGTGCAATGCTAGCAGTTGTTTACATTTGGGCTGGATCTGTCCTAGTTTATTAGCATATGGGCTGGATCTGCCCTAGTTTATTTGCATTCAAGCTGGATCTTCCCTGTTATGTGTTAAGTTTTTGTTGTAAAATATGAAAGAATGTCTAAATTCTCATTGAAAGCATATTTAAATTCTTATACCTTCACTTGTAACTATGAATTTTTAAGATATTACTGTCATATTTTCTGTAACTTTTCGTACTGTTAAATGTTGAAAATGGACCGTAATAATTGGACTCGTTATTACTTTCAGTCCAAAGGTAAGATTTGTTACTTATTGAGTTGGTTGTACTCACGCTATACCCTGTACCTCGTGTCCAGATCCATGTGCTTCCAGATATGGCGGTTGTTGATTTGCAGAGTGCAGACCTTCGGAGATCATCGAGGTAGCTGTTTGGCATCCGCAGACCTTAACTTTCATCCCATATCTTTCAGTTTGTTACTCAATTTTTACTTTCTAGACAGTGTACCAAACTATGACTTTATGTAGATGCTCATGTACTCGGTGACATCGTGATTTTGGGAAGGATTTATATATTGAATTATGATTTCTTATTCTATTTTAAGAGATTTTTCTTTATTTAACTTGTTTTAGTATCTTTCAAAAATTTAAAGTGTTAGAACTATCTGAGTAGTCGACTTGTCTAGTATTATTATAGGCGTCATCACGACGGTTTGGTTTTGGATCGTGACATTCATATTTGGGGATTTTGAATTCAATCAATAAAAATGGAAATATCGGCTAGATTCACGGATGTAGGGGGGAAAAGGGAATGATTTGAAGACCAAATTTGTG